GCAGATTGATACGGATAGCATGATGGGCTTTTGAGCCTGGAAGACCTGGGTCCAAATCATGCCTCTGTCAAATACTAGCTTTGTGATTCTCAATTCTCTAAGTCTCTTGCCATCGTGGAGGGGACATCTTGCCCTGATTTGTCTTCCCAGAGATAAGAGAACTGTTACTGGCAGAGATGGTGCCCACACCAGGGAGTTTCCTGATGCTCACACACCCTTTGCATAGTCACACAACTACTGGATCATGGTTGGGAAATTAAAAAAACAAAAACAAAAACAGAAATCCAAAGTTCTAGAACTTAATGCCAACTGAGGATCAATCAGAAATTTAGATTTTAAAAGCTCTCACAGTGTAAGTCACTAGGAAAATAGCATTAGATTTCGAAACACTGGACTCATACATAGTTTTTTGGGGACAGATATACAAAGCAAGCTGCAGCTGTGGCTGTACTAGACATCAGAACTTTCATCTTAAACACCAGAGGAGGCATTCTCCTCCTCCTCCTTTTCCATTTCCTCCTCCTCTTTTTCTTCCATCTCTTCTTCCTCTTCCATCTCCTCCTCTCCTTCCCTTCCTCCTCTTCCTTCTCCTTCTCTCTCTTCCATCTCCTCTTCCTCCATCTTTTTCTCTTCCCTTTCTCCTCCTCCTTTTTTCCCAGAAGTGAGAACAATAGAGGAAGGAGAGAAGCATTTTTATATAGCACCTGCTCTGTGCCAGCCTTAGCACTAGTGTGCTAAGCACTTCACAGATTATATCTCATTTGATCTGCACAACAAGCTTGGGAGGCAGGTGGTCTCACCACCTTCACTTTACGGTGTAAATCGAGAGCTGAGGATTTCTAAACAACGGTGCAGTTCAATAGATGAGGGACAATATGAGTTGGCGATGGCAACTGCGGTCTTCCTGCTCTTCAGATGAGAAAATGTCCTCTCGCTGTGAGGGTGGTTTTCTATTGTCCTACTGCCTCCCAATTCTTTGTTCCTCTTGTTCTGAAAAAGATCTTGATTTGCCAGGCAAGGTGGCACAGAGGGAAGAGAGCTGGTCTTGGGCTAAGAAAAACTGAGTTCAAGTCCTGGTCTCTGACCCTAGGTAAATCCTTCCCCTTGGAGTGTTCCCAATGACTCTCCATGACTACAGAATTGCAGGTAAGGTGCTGATCTACCTGGTACTAAGAGATCCCAGATTTAGACCTGGAAGGGTCCCTTTGGTCTAACCCCTTCATTTGACAGATGAAGAAACTGAGGCTGAGAAATTGACTTGCCCAGGGTCATGTACCTAGGTTGGATTTGAACTCTGGTCCTTCCTCCAAATACATAGTTCTATGAACTCCATCAGGGTTCTTAACTGGGGGTCTATGGATCCACAGAGAGCCCTCAGGTAGATTTCCAAGGGTCTCTGAACTTGGTTGAACTTTATTTTAATATCATTGGTTTCCTTGTTATTCTATATATTGTATTTTATACATTCAAAAACTTTATTCTGAGATTGGTCCACAGGCATCAGCTGACTTCCAAAGGGATCCATGACCCACAAAAAGTGAAGAGTCCCTGGACCGCTCTGTATTACCTGGGCTGGTTATTAGGCCAAGGCAAAGGAGAACCTCCAGAGGAGGACGAAGATGGGGAAGGACCTCGACTCTGTGTCCTGTGAGAACCAATGGAAGAATGATGATAGACCAGAGAGGAGAAGACGCGGGGAGAAGAGATCGCCACCTCTGAGGGTCTGGCAGGCTGTCATGTGGGAGGGGGATCAGATGTGTTCTCTCTGCCCCCAGAGGGTTCAACCCAGAACTTTGCCAACCATTAAGGCAGTCCACAAGTAGAGCCGGCTCCTCCCCTATCCCCTCTGCCCTCCTACCATGAGGTGGTGGGTTTCCTTCCTTGAGGTCTTAAAGCAGGAGCCTGACGACCATTTATGAAACATGTTGTAGGAGATTCCCTTAAGGTATGGGGCCCCTGAAGTCCTCGCCAGATCTGCAGATGACTGAGGCACCACTTGGGTACACCATCAGTATCCTCTGATTTTAAGGGAAAGTGAGAAAGACCCCCTCCAGCACCCTGAGGACTTTATGAGAAGACCTGGACAAGAGGCACCCAGGGTGGGCAGACACAGGACCTTGGATTTAGAGACCGTCTCATTTTACAGATGGGGAAACTGAGGCCCAGAACGTGGAAGTGACTTGCCCAAAGCCAAGGTGGGATCTGAAGACAGGTCTTCCTGCTTTCTGTGTCCGAAGCCCTCTCCACTACACCAGGCTGCCCGTCCTGGCATGGTAGGCTGTGGTCTGCCAACATATCACAACACCCACGCTGTTGAGATGACACCTGCACCTGCCACAGCGCCTCACACAGAACAGACAGTTAGCCAATGTAGTTTAAAAACTCATTCGCTAACATGTCAAAGAGTTTCAGATCCTTTTTTCTAAGCCAGGATGGCACCAGGTGGTGAGGAGGGGTACCAGAGAGGGAGATAGAAAGCAGGGAAGCTGACTTGAGCAACTTCATGCTTTTTTCTAATATAGCAAGGAGAGACAGGACAAGGACTCCAGTAGGGTTCTGGTGGTAACCCCAAATCCCAAGATCCCCATGCTTTCACATGCTGTAAACCCACCCCCCCTTTTCCCCAGCAACAATCCAGTTAGCTGAGGAAATCTCTTTCCCCCATTAAGCCTGGCATGGTGCACTGGATTTGGCCTTGGGCTTCAAAATCCTGTTTCTGCCACTTAATAGCTATATGATATTGGACAAATAATGTCTTCTCTCTGGCCTCAGTTTTCCCATCTTTAAAATGAGGAGATCGGGCCAGTTCATTTCCAAGGTCCCTTCCAAAGCCACAGCCATGGTATTCTGACTCTCCCAGGGGTGTGCTCAGTCCCCGCCAGTCAATCAATGAACACTTACTTATTAAGTTACTAACAACACTTCTTTATTGAGCACCTACTACATGACGGTCAGCATTCGTGCTAAGCAAGTGACCTTCACTGTGAAGTTGACTGCCTCCCCCCCCCACCCCCAAGCTACAAATTCTGCCAAACCCTCGTTCCCGGAGCCTTTAAAAGCTGCCTCAAAGCTGTGATTTAGCCATAATCCTTCCCCAATCTCCCTCGGCTCATCTTATGCAGGGTTCAAGGTGTACCTTGGGTCTCTCCCTTTTTCCGTTCTTTCTCTTTGAGACAAGGCTTGGCATTGAGCAGGCCTGGGAGCAAGGAAGGCTCTTAATTGTAGAGCAGAGGTGGGGAGCCTGCAGCCTCGACGACACATTGGCTTTCTAGGTCCTCAAGTTCAGCTTCTGACTCTGGCTGTGTGACCCTGGCTAGGTCGGGCCCACCTTTCAGTGCTCTGGGCATCGGTAAAAGAGTCCCCTCATTTAGGAATTCTCCATCTCAGGGAAATCCCGAGCCCATCCGCTGCCTATTCCCTTTGCCTGTTTCTTCACTGTCTCAAGGACCGGAGGCGGATCATGAGCGCTGCCTAATTTAGTCATGGCCCTCGTCCGCTACAGCGGCTGAGAAATTCCTCGCTTTAAAACTACATTGCGGCAACTGTCTCGTTACCCCATGGCGTGTCTGGGTGGGGGACACCAGTCTTGTTGGGAGGCCACACCATGCAGGTGCCCCCTCCCCACGCATGCAGTCGGGGCTTGGCGGTGATGCAAAGTACAAGAATTCTTAATGGGACAAAGGGTGGTGGAGGACCTCCGCCTGCATCCTGCCTAGGATGAAAGCGTCTGATTCAGAGCTGGGGGAAGCTGGAGGTACCAACCAGGCCCCTTGTTTTCCGTCTGTCTTTAAATGCAATTTACTGAGGCCTTCTGAGATGAGGAAACTGAGGCCCGGGACTTTCCAGAGGTCAAACCGCTTGGATGTGATGGGGAGCGCTCTAGGGAAGGGATGATGGACCTAGGACGGGTGGAGGGGGTGACAGAGTTAAAGGTGGCCTCAGTTTCCTCATCTGTAAAATGGGCATTACAATAGCACATCTGGCAGAAGTCTTGGCCAAATAATATCTATGGAGTACTTTGCAAACATTCAGTAGCCACAGAACAGCGATTGCACAAAAAAGCTGTTTTATACATATATATGTATATACCTGCACACATACGTATGTGCAAACACACATGCATATGCACACACAATCATAAACACGTACGTGTGTATAGGTTTGAATAACATATATGTGTATCTGTGTGTATGTGCACATATATATGATTCTATCGATATTTCAGTTCACAGGCACTGTTCCACTTGATTCTCGTCAACCCTTCGAAGACTGGTACTCCTTCCATTTTACAGGTGAGGAAACTGAGTCCCAGAGAAGGTAAGTGACCCACCCAAGGTCACCCAGCTGGGAAGTGTCATATCATGGGATCACAGATCTAGAGCTCTAGGGACCTCGGAGGTCTTCTAACACAACCCCTTCCATTTTACAGATGAGGAAACTGACGATCAAAACTGGTAATGGATTTGCCCAGGGTCCCCCAGGCCGGAAGTGTCGGAGGCGGGATTCGACCAGAGGCTCTGCTGCTTGGAGAGTCTAGTTCGCCCCGCCCCCTCGCCCTCTCCAGGCAGATGAACAAACCCTTGGGCGATTCGTTATTCAGGGACTTGACCGTTAGTTGAGCAGCTCCGTTGCCCAGCAACACTGCCCCGACCTTCCGCTCTAGGGCGGAATCCGCTGGCTCCACCAATGGCGGCGCGCGGTGGAGAGGAGCGAAGGGGGGAGCCAGGAGTGGGAGGCCCGCGCAGGGGCGCAGGAGATGGAGATGGAGAGGGGAGGAGGGAAGGGAGAGGGAAGGCTGCGCGTGCGCGCTCGCGTACGCAGCCACGCAGGCGCGGAGAAGGGGCGCTCGGCTGTTGGCGGCCCCCACTCCCACCCCGGCGGCGTAGGGGAGCGCGCAGGCGCGCGCGGCCCCGCCGGAGCGGGGACGGGAGCGAGCGGCAGCGGCGGCGGCGGCGGCGGCGGCGCTGGGAGGAGTGAGCGGCCGGGTGGGCGTGGGTCGGGGCGGGTGGGAGGCTCGGCGTGTGTCCGGGAGGAGGGCGGGCCGCGCGGGCCCCACGTCCGCAGCCCGAGCCCGAGCCCAGAGCCCAGAGCCCAGAGCCGCCGCCTCCGGCCCCCAGGCCGACCAGCGAGCGCCGCGAGCCGCCGGGCCAGGGCCGCCGGTGAGTGCGGAGCGAGGCAGCCGGCCGGGACCTGCGTCCTCTGGAGGCCCCTGCCCGGCCCCCCCGGGGGCCGCTCCTCTCCCCATCCGCCCTCGCGGCTCCCCATCCTCGCCGGGGGCCCCGTGCCTCTCCCCGTCCTGGGGGATCCCTGTCCTCTTACCCCAGGGTCCCCAAGCCTCTCCCCATCCTTCCCGGGGGACCCCTGCACTCCTTCCCTGGAGTTCCCACTCTTCTCCCCATCTATCCCGGGGTCCCCATTCCTCTCCCGATGCATTCTGGGGAATCCCTGCACTCCTCCGCTGGGATCCCCATCCTTCCCGGGGGGAACCCTGCACTCCTACAAGAGGGTCACCATCTCTCCCTCAGGGTCCCCATTCCTCTCCCAAGGTTCCCATTCTTTCCTTTTCTCTTGGGAGATCCCGGACCCCTGGGATCCTCATCTCTCCCCTGAGGGTCCCCATTCTTCTCCCCATCCATCCCAGGGGACCCCTGTCCTCCCCTGGAATCCCCCTGCCTTTCCCCAGGGGTCCCTCTTCCTCCCCAGGGGTCCCTCTTCCTCTCCCGGGGTCCCCATCTCTCCCAGGGGACCCTTATCCCCCTCTCAGGGGGTCCCCATCCCTCTCCTGGTGTCCCCCTGCTTCCCTCCCATGGGGTCCTCCTCTTACCTCCTCCATCCAACTCCCTTTTTCTTTTCTTCCTAGCTCCCTCTTCCTTCGTTTTGAGGGTACTCCATTTTTCTCTCCATGTGTCCCCTCTTTATACCTCCATTTTCCCTTCCTAGGTCCCTCATTTCTGCCTTCCCCCGGTTTCTTCTTTCTCCTTCCATTACCCCCTCTGGGGGTCCTCCATTTCTCCCCTATCCTCTCCGTGGGTCCATCTTTTCCCTCTCTGTGGGTCCCCCCTTTCCCCTTCTATTGCTCTTTCTGTGGGTCTCCCATTTCCCCCCCATCCCTGGGTCCCTCCTTTCCTCCCCTCTTCCCCCCTCCATGGGTTTCCTCCCCATTGGGCCCTCCTTTTTCCAGGCATCCTTTTTCTCTCTGCTCCCCCTTTTCCTCCAAGCCACCACACCTCGCCCTCTTTCCTCTCCTTATTTCCTCTTCTTATTTCCTCTACTTCCTTTGCAGACTTTGAGGGGAAGGGTGGGGACTAGTTGGGTTCATACACCTGAGAAAGACGTTGCCTGGGAGAGGGGCAGAGGAGAAGCTGCTTGTGCCTGCTTTCCAAGGATGCCAGCAGGACCCCCTCCAGAATTCCTCTGCCTAAGGGGTTCTGTTCCCCTTGGCTGTTGGGAGAAAGCCTATCCCCCCTCCCCCTAGCTAGGAGGCCCCCATCCTTGTGCTCCTGCAGATGCCCCCGTTTGAGGGTAGGCAACGTGGAGGAGGAGGGGGAGGTGCCACGCTCAGCCTTGGGTCATTTTCTGCACCTCCTGCCACGTCACTCCCTTTCCCTGAGAAAAATAAAAGGCTTGTCCAGATCTCAGGGAAAGAGGGGGAGGCCGGAGGAACCCCTGGGTTCTAGAGTGAGAGCCACCTTGATTTCATTTGTTACCACATCCCCCAGGAAGACGTTTTGTAGAAACTGGTGCATTAGTCACCTATGAAAATTCTCTTTCATGGCTGTAGGTGCAGTAGTTACTGATGTTGGCTCTTGGTAAAGGAAAAAGGTGTAAGGGACACCACCTGAAACGCTTACGTGCTTGTGTCCCATCTTTAGGAAAAAAGGACCTGGAATGAGGTGCCAGGGAGCCTTTCATCTTCCCGAAAGGTGTACTTTTTAAAAAAAAATTGATTTAAAATACTTGTTGACACGTTTTGGGTACAAAACACCATCATGTGGTCCAAGGAATGGAGCTGCAGACCAAATAATCTGCTCTTCTGTTTTAGTGTGGCAGCCACTGATTGTTAGAAACTATAAAGTCCTTATTTTGGCTTGTCTCAGTTATGATTAGGATACATCTTCATGCTTTAAGAAGATGCCTGGAAGATTTCAGAGCTTTGCAGTTTTGCTCAATAAATGACTAAATATGTACTTAAAGATAACATCATAAAAGTGGGTTGTCAGCCTGGTGCGTGCCCCCGTATTCAGTCCCTTCTGCAGCAGTGCTCTCCACTCTCCTTTTTGCCCCTCAGTCCCCCTTCTCAGTTATCCTTTTTCTTATCTCCAGGCTGGTACTTTTTAGCACCAGGCTATTTTAAGACTTCCATCTCACCCACTGTTTGCTGTGGAATTAGTGGGCAGGGCCACCTTGGAAAGCAGTCACAGCCAGCTGAAGATAGCTTACAAACTGGGTGCTTTCAGATATGCTTTCGGAGGGTGTGGATGTCTGCAAGCTCTGTAGAAATGTTTTGGGAAAGAAAGCTCTTTAGTTATTTGGCGAAATAGGCCCAGACTTTTTGAGTGAAGGCGAGGCAGTGCCTATAAATCTTGTATTGATAATTCCTTTTACATTTTCTCATACAGAAAAACTGGCTCTGTGGACTTGATACAGGTTTTAAATTGTACCTGCTGTAAGTAAGCTATTGCATTTTCCAGCTAATACTTGTTTTTCTGAAGAGAAGTGATACTGATAGGGAAATTCCTTTGATTCATTATGTTATTTTCATACATAATTATTTTTCTAAAGCATAGTTTCTTTTCTGATGTGAATTGGGTAGAATTTGGTAGGTGAAGTTTGTTCCAGAAATTCAAAGCAACATTGACTTAACCGTTCTCTACCTACATTCTTTTCTTCATGAAAAAACCAAACCACAACACAAAACCCCTAACAAAAAGGACAATTCCCAAGAAGCCCTTGTTTACCCCTTCCTGTTATTGGAACACATTGCCCCCTAGGGTGTGGTGGTGTTCTCTCTCTCACCAGATTTGCAGATGCTTTTGTGTCCCGTTTGGCAAACGTTTCCAGCAAACATACACATCCACAGTCATACTTCTGATGACATCTCTCCACCAGTGCTACTCACCACCCTTTCATGTCTTCTCATTCTGTTCAGTTCTTATCTGTAGCCTTCTGTAGATCCTGCTCATTTCTTTTTACATTTAGAGGATACCAGTGGTGAAATTAGGGGAGCCCACCTCCTTTTCTGGGAAGTGTTTTGTCCAGGGTCACTTAACGTCCGGGTGCCCAAGGCACCTCTTGAAGACTGGAAGTCTCTTAGAAGGTGGTGACCACCTTGTGTGGGAGTTCTGTTCTGGGAGCTCCCTATGCATTTGAAATCACTTGTCCACTTTTTTTTTTTAAGAAGATGAAGTTACAATAGTTTGTCCATGTTTCAAGACATAAGGTTGGAACTAATTATGCCACAGGGAAGACTGTTTTACACATTATTTGTGCTTATATTTGTATCCCCACTGATCGTGAGAGCTTCCACATGCTCTTAGTAAATTAAAGTGGTGTTTTGCATTTCCCTAGCTGAGGCCCAGCCCTGAGTCTGTTAGATCTAATTGAGGCAGCTGGCTAAGTTAAGTAAGCAGAGAATGTGGCTCTTGGGTAGCAGAGTGGGGAGAGTTATTCTTCCTCTGTGCTGAAATTATCTTCCAGAAAAGAGTGTGTGTGTCTCTGTCTGTCTGTCTCTGTCTGTGTGTGTGTCTGTGTCTGTGTGTCTGTGTTGGAAAGAAGTTCAGGGACAGGGTTTAGGCTGAAAAGAGGTGAGTGCAGGTCCATCAGCTAAGCTTGGTAAACCTCTCCTAGTTCAGTTCAGAGAAGAATGTGTCCCAAGGGGCTGCTGCTTATCTACCCCGGAGTGGTGTGTTCAAAGTGAACTTCTTAGGTCAGGGGCTCTTAACCTTTTTTGCTTGTGGTGGGCGGGACCTTACTGTCAGTCTGCTGCCTGTGAGCTCCTCCTAAGAATCATGTGTTTTTAAATGCCGGAAATGAAAGACAAAGGATTACAAAGGAAGCCTATCATTTTGAAATTAAGTCACCAAGAAATATTTTTTAAAAACCAAATTCACAGCCCCCTGGTTAAGAACCTCCAAATTAGAGGAATTTAACATTAGATTTGTTTTTGGTTTCCTATTAATTGATATGATAACGCCCAAAGCCTAATCAGTGTGGTTTAAAATACTGCTCTCTCTAGTGGTGCTTGTAATTGTGTGCAGAATGTAAAAAAGAGGGAGAATGGACAGAAACCAGTCTACTGTTGGGTTGGAGAAGAGGGTATGGAAACTGTTGCTATAAATTTCTCATGGTCAAAACTCACTGGTTTAGGAACTTAGTATTATCAGAAATTTTAAAGTTGATTGCTCGAGTGTCATAAACTAAGTGAACCATTTCTGGTCACATCTTCAGTATAGGTGGGTGGTGTGGTGGAGGGGAGCCTCGGGGGGCAGCTCTGCTTCTGCCCCTTCGGCCTGTGAGTCAGGCACTTTAGGCCTCTGTGTCCGCACTCCGAAATGGGTGGCTCTTGTTAGCCTTTAACCTTTCCTCCCAGTTTTAAGGTTCTGTGTTGTTTGTAATGAACAGCTAGGTGCTGAGGACACAGAAGACTTTATTTGGAGGAGGCCAAGCAGCAGAAAGAAGAGTTGAGGTCAGAGTCAGCCTGGCTTAGTCTGTGACCTCAGACAAGTCACTGAACCTCTGTGAGCTCAGTTTCTTCACCTGTAAATGGGAATAACAGTACACGTGCTACCTCCATTGTTCTCAGTCTTCCGTTGGTCACGATTCTGAGTTTGCTAGCAGAAAGAGAGCTAGATGGGGGGCAGAAGGTGGACCTATAATGGTAGCTCCTACTAGCCACGTGACCTTGGACAAGTCACTTGTTACCTCACCTGTAAGCTGAGGGCTTGTTCTAGGTCATTACACTTGGAAGCAAATGGGGATCCCGGGTTTCTGCTTTACCCTCAGACCTGCCTGTCATTTAAAGGCAGATTTAAAGACAGAAGATTAAGGGGGGAATGGACTCAGATGCCAACTTCTTTCAGTCCCCTCAGCTGAAGAAACAGCTGTTTGCAAATATTTGGAGCGTCAGACCTTTGCTGTGACTCCTCCGTCCTACCTGATAGCCACTGCGCTTTTGTGGGTGCTGGCAGTCAGGTGGCCCGAGTTCTGATTTAAATCTAAATGCTGACTGACATTTGAATAAGACCGGACTTGCACTTAACTTTTATCAGCCTGATGTCTGCTTCCCTTTAAGGCATCCCCCAGGCCTTCATTGAGGTATGTTGGTTTATGTGCAGAGGGGCAAGACAAATAAGGCCCTTTGGTTATGTAGGAAAAAGAACACTTTCTGAGTGAGGATTGGGATGGAAAATGGGCTGGCTAGTAAAAGTAAAAGCCCTTCTTTAAAACGTCTGGCTGCAGTGCACGTGAGCAGGGTGGGCTGTTGGGGGAAGGAGGCCTGATGTGTGTGTGCAGAGGCCCGGCCCTTGGGCTCAGCTAAGGTTTGGAGAGGAGGTCGCTTTGTACACCTCTCCTTTTTACTTAGGCCAGGCTGGCAGAATTTAGCATGGGCGGGCATTTGCTCATTTTTATGACCTCTGTTTTACATCTTGCATAGTTTACAAAGGTTAAGTGACTCCCGCGGAGTTCAGGCGTGGTTTTCTTATGGACCATGCATTTGCTTTAGAACAGAGAGATGGTCCCTTCCGTAGCCATAGACAGCACTCTGCCGTCACTCCCATCCTTGGTTAAAGGAGGGACCCGACCAGACCCCAGCTGCTCGCGTCCATGTCTTACTGGTGGTCTCCTCTTCCTACGAGAATGGCCCTGCTCTGAATCAGAGTTACACCATGGCTTCTGTGGGGGAACCGTTTCCATTGTCACAAGTGGAAGTTTCTCCGTGCCTGAGATCAGTGGTGTCCAACTCAGACAGAAGCAGGCAGAAGACTGTGGTTTTCGTTACTATGTTGTATTTTTATTTTGTTAAATTTTTCCCAATTACATTTTAATCGGCTTCTGCCATACTTGGGAGTTTTGTGGGTCCCCAGTTTGACACCTCTGCCTTAGGGACTAAAAACCACCTCATTACCTGGGGGTTATCCTTTGGTGAGGAGCCTTTCCGAACTTAGCCAGCCATCTGTGTAAACGAGAGACAGTCTGTCAACGAGCATTCATTAAGCATTTCCTTTGCTTTAGGCTGTGCTCATAATAAGCAAGGCAAAGAAAAAGGTCCCTGCTATCATTGAGCCCACATTCCAATGGGGGAGTCATGTGGTAACTACTCCATAAACCCAGAGATGTGCAGGATGAATTGGGGTGTGTCCGAGAGAAGGCACCCAGATTGAGAAGGGCTGGGAAGGGGGCCAGGGAGGCCAGGAGGCAGATAGGAGGAGGGAGAGTGCTCCAGGCGTGGAGGATCCACCCCTGAAAATGCCCTGGCTGGGAGCTGGAAGGTCTGGGGTGAGGACAAAGGGGGCCCCTTCACTGGTTCTCAGGCTGTGGTGGGCAGGGAGGGGTCAGAAGACCGGAGAGCCAGAGGTCGGGGTGTGGTTATGACGGGCTCTAAAAGCCCAACAGGATTTGATAATTGATGTTGGAGGTGACAGGGAGCCCAGGGATTTACTGAAGGTGGGGTGGGGAGGTGGCATGGTCAGACTGTGCTTTGGCATAGTCAGTCTGACAGCCAAGTGGAGAGGGTCGAGATGGGGGGGAGTGAGAAAAGGGCATTCGGTTTACTTTGTCAAAGATTTTAGGAGGGTTTTCATCTTAGTTGTGGTATGGAAATCACTTTGAAATAGTGTTGGTCAAAGGAGAATGATTAACCTCATTAGAGAAGGCACCAGGGTTTTCACCAACCAGCTTGTCTTTTTACTGTTTCTACTGAAACACATTAATTCACTTGATATTTATTAATTTATCCTGCTTTGTGCAAGATGCTATTCCTGATGCTTTGGACAGAAAAGGATGAATGAAGAGCACCATGTAAAGCGTTGCCCTAAGTGCTGGCACACCCATAGAAAAGGGGGAATGTGCGTGCCCTCTAGGAGCTTACATTCTAACGGGGCACAGCACCCAGGGAGGAGGCGCCAGCTGCAAATCAGACAGAAGTCAACGGTCCTTAGGATTGTGTGCAAAACACCCGAGGCCCAGCGTATGGCTCCTGAGAGAAACATGTGTTCAGACACACACGTTCAGAACATCCCAGAAGTCGTAATGCTTTTGAAGCTGTCACAGCTAACACCCAGGAATCTGAGGAGGGAAATGAGACCTGGCAGCTGGAGGGATCAGGGAAGACTTCCTGAGGGAGGAGAGGATTCTGATGTGTGCCTGGCGGTTGTAGGCACGATTAGGCACAAAGGATGGCTCGTGTCAGTGCAGGCGTGGGAGCTCCTGAGGGTCTGGTCTGGCTCCTAGGCCCTGAGTGACGGTGGAGAGAGGCTGGGACTGTGTATCTTTTCTGGTCTCGGGCCTTAGGTCAAAGCATTTCGTTGTTCACAACGTATAATAATGAAAAATCAGTGAAACTGATCAGCTGTTGAAAAAAACTTGACAGCATGTACACATAGCCCCTCCTCGGACCCTGATGTGTGCCGGTGAGGGACAGTCTGGCCTTTCTGGTCTGGGGCCGATGGCCTTGGAGGGCAGGTCGGAGGACGGGAGTAGGCTGCGCACAGAGGCCAGCTCATTCTACGTTGTCTGTAGTCAGCGTGCTCCTTGTGCCATGGCTTGTGTGGCCTCTCCCAGGTCAGAGGGCTACTACTTTGTTTCCAGTTATTTTGATTCTGCAAGGAGTGTTGCCAACCTTTAGTGTTTGTGGAGCCTTGTTATTGTCAGTTACCTCCCTCAGTTAGGGTGCAGAGCATAGTGCAGTCTCTGGGTATGGACGTTTTAATCATTTTTTTTACATAATTTCAAACTGCTTTCCAGAATGATCATATGATTTCTCAGTTCCACCAACAATGCATTAGTATTCCTGTTTGTGCATAAACCCTCCAGCATTGACTATTCCACTAGGTATAATTTAAAACATTTCATAATCACCAACATTTAAAGTGGGAAATAGAGAGGGGTGGGTTTTAGTCTAGTAGGTGGCTTAAAGTGTTTCATAAATGGATAGAGCTGACTGGTTCTGAAATGTGTTTTCACAATACAAGATCATAGCATAACATCTGTTGTATATCTTTTCTAGGAGACCATGAATCAGACGGACAAAAACCAACAAGAAATTCCTTCATACCTTATTGATGAGCCACCAGAAGGTAACTATGGCTTCAGAACCCCCAGCAGAGGGGATCTCCATGGTTTTAGCGCAGTCCATTCATGCCTTAGTCCACGGCCAAGTGAAGCGATGGGTCCCCAGCTGGCCAGCCCTTTAAATGGGGCCAGGCTGGGTCCATGGCAGCTGATGCAGTCAGTCACTGGGCCCTTACCTATGGACTGACATCTAGAACCCTTGGCTGTCTTCACACCATCCTGAAGAGTGGATTAAGCTCCCTAATCGGTGTTGGAACTTTTAAATTTTAAAGTAGCTTAACTAGTTGCTTCATCTCAGTGTAACCAGAGGTGTGTTTGGCCTTGTGATAAGAAAGAAGGAAAACGTGGGTAGTTATAGGGGCTGGTGAGTCCACCATGTCTTGTGGCTTACCGTACAGTTTCCAGGGTCTGTGATTTCTTTGGTGCCACAGATGAGTAGGGAAAGTCACTGAAGAAGACTGTGGCTGGAAGCATCCACGTGAGAGGCTTTCCTCGAGCTCTGCACTTCCTGACCCACAGTTGGTAGCTGTGTCTGTTATGTGGTTTGCTCCTTTGGGCTCTGCTCATGTTCCGTGTCCAACCCCATCACGTGGATCATGGAGTGTCTTCTTTTATTGTAACCAGAAAGCAGCTAATAGCCTAGTTCTTACCTTTACTTCCTAGAATAATCTCTAACTATAAATTCTGTGCATGAATTGCCTTTGCTATACCCAGAAAAAATGTCAGCTTTTGCACTCTTTTTACTAATGGAAGGAAGCAGTAATGTGGATAATGCTAAATGTTGGATAATCCACTTGGGGATCTCTTAGCCCGAGAGTCTTCATTCCTGGAAAAGGAATCAGATAGGGAAAGAGAAAAGAGAGAGAGTGTGGTCTCTGTCAGTTCATTTAGAGGGCTCCTTGTATCCACTCCTTCAACTTTGGAATTCCTCGTATTGCAGTAAGAAGCAAAGTGAGATTGTGGGGAAGACACTAGCAATTTTCTTTTATCAGGCTTTTAAAAACAGGCTAGGGTGGAGATGAAGAGTGCACCGTGATTTAATACAGGAAACTCCCTACGCTAGCTAACGCAGGTGGCACATTCCAAGGGGCCTTGGTCACCGTGCCTGGGGCATGAGATCGGTGACTTGCCTGAGGTTGCACAGCTGGTCACTTGGTGTCAGAGGCGAGGTCTGAAATCAGGTCTTCTGCTTCCGGGGCCAGCTCTGTGTCTGTTGGGGCATGCTGTCTCTTGCTGGAAAAGTTTGGTTTTTTTCTAGCCTAGAAGGAGAGAGATAAGATTGACCAAGTTGGCTGCTCTTGCATAATAATGATAACAGCTGGCATCTCCATAGCACTTTGTAAAGTGCTTTAGGTGCAGATCTCTGTTAAGTTTCTCAACAGTCCCGTGAAGTGGGCACCAGGACGTTCTAGGTTCAGAGAATGATAGAGACTTGTTACATAGCTGGTAGGCTTCAGAGGCAGGATTTGAACCCCGTGCCATGCTGCCTTCCACTTGCTTGTGGAGGAATAGACTGAGAAGTCATTGACTCAGCTCCTGCCTTCCCTTCTTCAGCTTTTTAAAAATTAGATTTGGACAGATGGCAGTGCAGTAAATGGTAATAAAGGGAAAGATGGGGAATGCAGGGGGATTTCTGCTGAGAAAACTGATGGCCTGTGTGAAAGCAAGGGGAAGAAAGTGATGATAAAAGCCCTGGCCAAGGGACCATGCTGGGCAAGGAGGGAAGCGTGGGTTGTGTGCAGCGTGGGTAATTCACATGTAAGTGGTGGAGAGTTTTTTATAATTCACTCTGTTGAGGTTATCAGTGTTGACCTGGTTTGATTAGGAAGACATATTTCAGCCTCTCACATCTCCTAATAAACATAACAGTCCATGTTGGGAATTCTCAGTGGAGGGAGATAACAAATGGTGGGACCTGTTTCATCTTGAGACCTAGTCTGGTCCTCTGTCTTCTCTTAATACCAGTTACCCTTCTTAGTCCCAAGATAACTGGCTAGGATCATTCTGTCCCTCAGTAATGTGGTTCAGTGCCGAGTCGTTCAGGGCACACTCCCTGGACCAGGGTACGGTAGGTATTGCTTCTCCTTGGGACGGAACGAGCAGCTGTAACCAGAAAACTTGGTAGGCTGGCCTACAAGCAGGAGCTTTTCTGTCCGTGGCAGTGAGGAAGATGGGGAGGGCGCTTCAGGGTGAATCTGTTGTCACTGTACATCAGACTGATTCTTTTCAGAATATTTTTCTTTCTCTCTGTTGAACAGTATCAACTTCCCAAGAAATTCTCATACCTTTTTTTTCTTTTCTATTCATCTCATTCTGTTAAGGTGGTAACTTTTATAAAATTCACCTTTCTCTGTACTTTGGAGCATCTAATCTTGTCATAGATAAACAACGTGAAAAAAGCATTTGCATGGCCTTTAAATGTCCTCCTGGTGTGTGTGTGTGTACACACAAGTGTTTGTCTAACAGAAATAAAGCTTACCTTTATCTGAGCTGTTAAAAACAGAACATAAAGGCAATAGGGAGAGAGAAGTGGTCACTTAATTTCTTTAAGTCTAGGTTTAAGGTTAGGTTTCAGACCCTTATTTATGGGCAGGGCATGTGCTCATTTGACCATATCGGGCTTGTGGTCCATGTGAGTCACCAGACTTTGAGAGTGGCAAGGGCCTATTCATTTTTTTAAGCTAGGAAACTGGCACCCAGGTAGGGGTTGTTTGAGGTAGGGGGAGTCCTGGTGAATTTTGCCCCAGTGTCATGGAGTTATAATTAGTGACTTTTTTTTTTTGCCTTTGACTTCCTGGATGCCAAGATCCTTAGAGCAGAGTTTGTCCCATGGAACCTGCAGCCTTGAGGACTCAATCAAAGGGTGCACTTGAGAACCTAGAGGGCCAGACGTGGCCTCGGGGCCACAGAGCTCTCTCCCCCAGCCCCAATCTAGAGTATAATCTGAGAGAGAGAGTTCTGCTCTTAGACCTGATTGAGACAGTCTAGGAAACTACCATAACTAAGTCATGGGAAATGTGATTGTTTTATCCAGCATTATTAGCCCTCTTAAAGCTCAACAGTTTAAACTTAAGTACTTAAGTGAAACCAGCTAACAGCCCCCAGCATAGGGCCTTACTGTATATGCCATACATGGTTGTTGGGTCAGATGTCTCAGTCCCAGATGGCTTGAGGAGCTGCTGGTTAGAAATTTCTCTTTTATAAGTAGTGGGACTCGGAGAAAGGAAGATGTAGAAGCTTTTTCAGCTCCTTCAGCCTAGATCTGAAAGGCGATCTGTTATGGGAGTATTGGAGCGTGTTAGTTGTGGTGCCCTGAGGGCAGAGGTGCAGGCTTATCTATATAACACCTCTGGTCTTGATGACAGCAGGCCTGCCGGATTTACCTAGTAGTTGTGTACAGTTCCCTTTAAAGACACTGACTTGGGTGCTGTGCACGTTTTCTCTCGTTAGGCTCAATGAAAGACCATCCCCAGCAGCAGCCCAGCATGCTGTCCCGGGTCACTGGCGGCATCTTCAATGTGACAAAAGGAGCCGTTGGCGCCACCATTGGTGGCGTGGCTTGGATTGGAGGGAAGAGTCTGGAGGTGACCAAGACAGCTGTTACCACAGTGCCTTCCATGGGCATCGGGCTGGTCAAAGGAGGAGTGTCGGCTGTGGCTGGCGGGGTCACAGCCGTTGGGTCTGCTGTTGTAAACAAAGTGCCCTTAACAGGAAAAAAGAAAGACAAGTCTGACTGAGAGAGCGAGAAGGACGGGAAGATGAGCCGTGCCCTCAGCAGCACCACGAGGCCAGTGGCTTCGAGCTGCCAGCGGGGGGACTACCACCTCTTGGGGATGTTTCTCTTCTCAAGTGCTGTGTTGGAAGTATTGATGACTTCCTTTCATATGAAAAGAGAAGATGCCAAGACTCTCACCGCTTGTGAAAGTTCATCAGACTTTGATTCCAGATTTTTAACTGGTGAAATGTTACACTCGTTCAGTAGTAACTGAAGGTATAGTATGTTTCAATATTACTGTAGGTCTTTCAGTTCAGTTAAAAATGTGAAAATTACATTTAGTGGATAATCTTTGCTGTTCCATCCATCTGATAATGTGCCAGAGGACTCATGGCCCTTATGAGAGCTGTAAACTCTATGAACTGTACCTCTGATGTGCCTAGTAGTTTTGGGTGTCTCTTAGTTTTTAAAAATGGTATTTTATTTAGGCTAAGAGGCATATTTTACTCATTTAAGCTGGTAAGATAGGAATTGGACGTGTTAAAAAGTAAACTTTTATGTGATAATTTCTGAGCGCTATCCTTTGTTAGATATGCATTATGTTCATTTAATCATTGATGCCTTACAAGAGGACGTGTGTTCTGATGCCCTAAATAGCATTGCAGTTTTTAGCTTTTGACTATTTCAGTCCGTAAGTGAAATTAAGACTTTTTTCATTTAAGAAAAGAATCTCAGGAGTAAAAGCACCTCTTGTTGCCAGCAGATAAGAAGAATCCATTTTTTTATTAACTGTCTGCCACTTACCAAAAAATTTAAAAGGGTAGACAGATCCATATTGAAGCCCATGTTCCACAGTCTCTGGAGTAAAATACACCTTGTAGTGCCTGAAGATACATTTCTTAGCTTTTCACTTAGAAAGACATGGTGGATGAGTTTCTTATTAAGAGGTGTAATATGTGTGACAAATAACTTTTATAGTTGTTCTTTAAGAATTAGCTGCAGCAACCAAGATAGACACAGAATTCTTCACTCCTATTAAAAAAAAATCTGTAAGGCTGGCTTAAATCACAGTAGCGCTACCACCGATTTTTAAGGACATTGTAAAAGCAACAGTTTTTGAGAACTGCTTTGTGACTCTCCAGGTGAGCCTGAGGCATGAAATGGGTATAAACGCTTCCTTTCAGAAGATTTGTATGTACAGAATACAAGATAAATTCTAGGCCTTATAGACAGAAAGAGGATTTCTATCATTTTTCTTTCCCTTTTTTTCTTTTAAATTTTCAGCCAGTGAATGATATTCTTAGTGATATACTAGTTTCACACATCATATAGTCTGTTTATTGTGCTTCTGTCTCCCACAAATGAATGACTTTTAACATTCACTCTTCTTACAAAATTCCATTTCATGAAAACAGTCCAACTAAGGAAACCATCTGTTAGATGTTATCCAAGGAGATGACCATTTAGATGAGTTTTAACAGTTATCTCTACACTCACATCTGATGTTCTGTCTCGAATGTCTGCACTTTGGTCCCATGTGTCCAAATTATACTCCTCAGCCATGCTTTGGGGGTCCTGTAGTGATGTCCCAGGGGACTTGAGCCAAACCACTTCAAGATCTGGAGTTAAATGTTTGTTTACAGTGAAGCAGTTTACCTTAGTGTGCCTCTGCACATAGCTTGAGGATTGTGCTCCTTAATACTTAAGCTTTTTTTTCTTTTTAAGCTCTCATCAGCACCATCATAGTTTAAGCAAATCTAGAATATTCCATGAAAGCTTTATACTGGACACTGTTAAGACTGAAGTAGCGAGTTCAGCCCAGTCTATCAGGTGTTAAATTGCTATGTGGAGACTTAGGATGTACTCACTGGTTACAACTTTCTTTGCAAGCACCATAGTTTGAAAAGCAGTTGGAAAATGTGACGTAAACACTATTGGATTGGCTAAGAAAAAAAACAACAACCCTATATTGAAGAATTTATTTACTGTTGTTTGGGAAATTCTTTTCTGCTTACCTGGTGGTTTATTTTATTCCTAATTTATCTTCTGCAGTCATAATCTTCAGTGCTGTATGTGTACCTAGATTTCTTTTACAGGTAGAATTTTAGGATTTTTTGCATATTTATTTTCAATTGTGTTTGTCTCTAACATTTTCTTGCAGTAAAAAGTGTTGAAATGTCCTTCTGTGGAAAAGTCACCCACCTGTCTTATGTGTTGTATTGTAAAGCTTGGTTCATGTGCTAAGCTTCAAGTGTGTTAAGTCATTTACGTATGTTTTGGGGAATGGCTTCCAGCAAACAGCGCGAGGGTGTAGTTAGTGTAGACATGTCTCTGTCGGCATGAACTTGCCGTTGGTGTGTGCAGCTACGTAGTTGATGTTTTATTCCAGTTTATTTACATAGACTAGCAATTTGACCTGTTAAACAGGAGGAGCTCATTTCAAGAAACTAAGGACATTATCCCTGGAGGCATCTGTTGTTTGTGATTGGATGGCTTGAAGAACCCAGCCTGGTGAAGATGCGGAAGTGTGCGGCCCACCCAAATGACTGAGACAATCATGTTCAAGTGGTGTGTGGCCACAGCTGAAGTCATGGATCTGGGACGGAGGGACTTGGTAACTGCTGACGGAATGAAGGTTTTCTACAGAAGGTGATGGGAAAGAGGACTCAGATGATAGAGGAGGAAAGCACTCTGATCTGCAAAAGAGGAAATGTTTCATAAAGACAAGAAAATAAAGAGAATTTCAAAAAAACGGAAGACTCTTTTCCTCTAATTTGGGCTTTTGCCAGCCCATAGTATCCAATATTGTCATCTGTTAGCTTTGGGTCATTAAGCAATGCAGATCTAGGGATGATGTGCTTCATAATGAGGGTTTTAAGGAGACAGTGTTCTCACTCTCCTGATAACCAGGTGAAGGTAAAAATTTGTAAGAAAATGCTAATATTTTAGTCCTTAAGACTGTCATTAAGGAAGAGTAGGCCCCATTACACCCAGGAAGGCCTGGAGTCAGCTCAAGGAGGGATGGTTCCTCCCATACCTGCTCTGAATCAGAATCACCAGCTTCTAACCTAGTTTCTTTGGGAAGGCCCAGATCATTGAATCAGATCATACATTTGGAGAGGAAAGGGGCCCACGGAGGTCATCTCGTCCAGCTCCCACCTTAAACAGATGAGGAAACTGACAAAGTGTAGCATAGTGTTCAGTTAACCATTCATTCACCTGTTGGTTGCTGGTGTAGACAGTGGGTTGTGCAGGGCACACCTTGAGCTACCTGGAAGTTTTCCACTTGCATTCATTTATTATGGCACTTAACTACATTTGACCACAGAAATGAAGTCCAGTAACATAAAAGAAGCATGCAGTGAAATTATCCTTTGTTTTTGAAGGCATAATTCTCCACTAGGCAAATCTGTTGAAGCTATTTCTCTTTCAGCTGGTCCTACCTGACACTTTATGGGATGGAAAAAGATGGAGAAGTATTTATATTAAAGGCTTATTACATGCCAAGCAAGCACTGTGCTCAGCACTGAGATACACACAAAAGGCAAGGTCATTCTTGTTCTCAAGGGGCTCCCATTCCCAATGGGTAAAACCACATATAACGGACAGTTTCCATTTGGGGACTAAATGGAAGGGCCAGGTGGCATTACTTATCTTCCTGCTGTAACGAGTTTTAAAAACAATTATCTGAGTTTCAAAACTTCTTTAATGATGTGTGATAATCCAGAATGTGTATCTGGAATAGTAGAAAGAAGAGTTGATACAAGTCCCTTCAAAGGACAGATGCTGGTGTGGCACTATTCTGTTACCTTTTGAATACGGAGATTTCCTTCCTCTTCCTTTTCAGACCACAGGCTCCTTGAGGGCAAGGATCATGCCTTTTCCACTCTTTGTCATAGGTGTCCGCACACATGCATGTTTGTTGTTTGTGTCTCATGGTTAAAGGACTTTCTGGATACGCACATACCCAGCAGAGTTTTGTTTTCAAAGGAAGGTTTCGAAACCTCCATTTACCTAGATTTTGAGTTGGCAAGGCCATGCCATTTTTCCCCCCTAGTTACATGATTATAATGGTAGTGTTGAGGAAGACAATTCAGACACATTTTGTGGGCTAAACACTCTCTGAAAGACTTCTGATATATTAATATTGATAGGGGACATATGACCTGCTTTATAGCTGAATATCTGTAAATAGTGTCCAGTGTTTTCTCATTTTACCATACAGTTTAATATAAGCAGAGGTAGAAATGGGGAGAAAAAAGGATTGTATTTAGATGTAGGATCCACATCTCCTGCTATGCAATGATATAAAATATATAGGCAGCTTTTTACTTTGCACAATAGGCTTATCAGATTTCAATTTTGGAAGTGGAATGATTTAAATCAGTGCTTCTATAAGATTTTGAGTTCCAAATTTTTCTCCCTTACCCCCTCCCCAAGACAGCAAGAAATCTGATAGAGGTTATACACATGCAATCATATTAGTCATATTTCCACATTAGTCATGTGGTGAATCAGAAGCAGAACAAAAGGGAAAAACCACAAGAAAGAAAGAAAAAAACCACCACCAAAACCACGAAACCTAGTACGCTCTGCATTCAGACTCCGTAGTTCTTGACTCTGGATGTGGATAGCATTTTCCATTGTGAGTCCTGGAATTGCATGACCTCTTTTAAGAGGAAATATTCTTCCTACAAATGGTCGTATGCAGTTGGATTTTTTGGTATATCGAGTTTCTTTAAAAGTGGGTCATATTTACAGCGCAACATAATTTATAAGTATTAGTTGGGATTCTCACATTAAGTACAATCAAAACATCATTGAATTTAAAAGCGGGGCATCCAGGCTAAAAAAAGAAACTTGGAATTAGTTGGTTTCAGTTGATCCGGTATTTAAACCAAACAAAATAGGGCGTCTGGTTGGCTGAGTAGCTTCAAATTACATGCAATTCTGAATAATCATATCAGATTACCCACATTTTACATTAATTTCTTCACTGATTGTAACAGCATCAAACCACATAAATATATAGTTAAACTTAAAATCACTGGGAGATCATTGTCAAGTTTCAAAGGATTCCTTTATAACTTGATTAGATTAATTGCTATCCAAAGTAAACAATAAAGAACATGCTACTGGATGAGTATTTTATTAACTTTTATTGAAATATGGCTCAAAAGGTTTTATACATCTATTTACATTTCACCATTAAATATTTCATCACAAAAGCATGATGTGTCACAAAGTCCAGACTATTCGCCAGTGATGTGGTCGAGAGCTTAGTTAACAGAATGAACAGCTCACAACTCAGATGCTCAGCCAGGACCACAGAATGTGTGCCGGGAGGATGCAGAGTCCCAGCCGCTATACTGTTGGCCATGAAGAGGCACCCTAATGACCTTAAGTTAATCTTCAACATTTAAGGGTGCCACAGGATTAAATAATGGTCTTTGTTTTCGTGCTTGTATCTTACCAAAGTTGGACTCAAACTCTTTTTTGGTTCCGTTTAAATTTTCTAGATTGCCATTCCTTATGCTGTATCCCAAAGCGTTCAGTTTTCTAATTCTGTACTGGACAATTTGTGGGGTTAACTCAAGTACCATCGGTGTCTCTCTTATCTGAGCTATAGAAACCCCTTCTTTCAATAGATTCTGAATTCGCTCTTCTAGAATTGGGGCAGTGTAGTACAAAAGGGCAGGGGATTTTAAAATCAGTTCCTTCAGCTCCCGATGGCTGCATTTAAAAGTGCTCTTAGCAAAAAAGATGCTTTCTTGTAAGCTCGCATGGGAGAGCCGAAAAAGAAATCCTTTGAGTTTGGATAAGAGCTGGAGAACTTCCAGGTCTGTGAAGCCTTGCTTCTGGAGAAGTTCCAATGTCTCCTTTACGGGAGTGGAAGAATTCAACAAAATAAATGGGTCTTGACTCAAAAGCTTCAGTAGCCAGACTTTCATGTTGGCCTGGGAGCCCCCTAAATTCAAATAACTTTCCTCTAACATCTTGATTGTTCGTTTATTCTTCTCTATAGAGTTACAAAAAATATTGGGTGCAGTTGTCAAGAACCTACTAATGATCACATTCTTGAGTCCCAATTCTTGAAAAAATTTAACATTAAGCTTCTGATTTTCCTGGTCTTTAACGACAAAGAAAGATTCTGGAAACTGTTCTATCAATGCCACTACCTCGTTCTTATTTCGGCAGACAGACTGCCACAGGTCTATCTGGGCATTCACTGCTGTTGGATAACAAAGGATGGCTTCTGGACAGCATTCCAAGATGTGGGCTATTGCAGTTTCATTGGTGCCTATTTTCTGTAAAATACCGGCAATTTCTTCAACATAAGTTTCCTCCTTGAAAAGCACCCATCCCTTTATTCTTCGGATTTTCCTGATGTCAACTGATAACCTGCAGAGGTTTTGCACGGTCACGGCATTCTCGCCTTTGGGCTGCTGTTTGTCAGGTGTAGAGGTGAAGTACTTTACGAAAGGTTCACATTTGGATGCTTCAGTCTTTTTACAAGAACACAGCGTGCGTGGCCAGGATCTCATCACTAACATCCTCAACGTGCCCGCCATCCCTCGGCCAATGCCCCTCACCCTGGGGAAGCTTGCAGTGTGTTTACTATCTGGAAGAAAGCAAAAGCTTTAGGTCAGTGACATCATGTGTTTTCCAATCTGAGGTGCTTCTAGGCAAGATTGGTTTGACTTTAAAAGCAAGCCAACTGAAATCATGATGATATTTTTGAGAGATTTGGGTTAACCCAGTTGCCTACCAGAAGTTATTTGACAGCTCACATTTCAGCATGATTCCAATATAAAAAGCTATTTCTTCCTCAAGACAGCCCTGAGCAGTTGAAACGTAGATACTGTTGACATTATCATCCTCTTGTTGGAGACAAAACTCTCCTGGGCAGTTAAGTGACCTTGCTACTAAGTGTGGGAACCAGATGGGAACCCTGGCAGCTGTGGCCTCTGATACAGTATAGCTCCATGAATGCTTCATCTCTTAAGATGTGCACAATACTTTATAGAGCAGCAGTTTATTTTCATAGATATAAAATGAAAATGAACTCAACTGAAGTTATGCAAAAGCAGATGCTTTTCAAGTTGTTGAGGTACGTGAATCCTGATTCAGCAGGTCAGCAGGAGATTTTAGGGACATTTTTACCATTCCTTGGTCAGGAAGACAGTGACTATTACC